GATTTTAAAGCAAGCAGAATGTCACTAGAATAAAAAGAGACCTTTTACAATGATAAAAGTGTCAATCAATCAAGATGATATAATTATAAACATATATGTCCCAAATAACAGAGTTACAAAATACGTGAAGCAATGCCTAACATGATCAAAAAGATAAATTCAACGATAATTGTTGGAAATTTCAAAAGTTCCACTTTTAAAAATAGATACAATAACTAGACAGAAGATCAAAAAAGAATGAGATGACTGGAAAAATGCTATGTAGAAGACCTCGATACCAAAATCTCCAAAATATTGCAGAAAGAAACATTTTTAAAAATTATTTAAATGGAGGGGAATACCAGGTTTACAGGTTGGAAGACTCAATTTTTAAAAGATCTTTCGTCTACCAAATTAAGCTCTATGTTTATCACAGTCCTATAAAAAAAATCTAACAATTATTTGTAGAACTTGAGAAAGTGATTCTAAAATTTATATGGAAATACAAAGGATCTGGAATAACTAAAACACTCTTGGAAAAGAAGAAAAAAATTGGAGAACTTCACTACCTGATTTCAAGATGTGCCTTGAAGCTACGTTAATTATGATAGTGTGGTAATTGAAAAAAAAAGACAAACCAATCATTACAAAATAAAAAGTCCAGTAATAGATCCACACGTGTATGGCCAATTTGTTTTTGACAAAGGCACCAATAAAAATCAATGAAGAAAGTCTTTTTAACAAATAATAGTGGAACAACTGGGCAAACAAATAGGAGGAAAAATGAACTTTAATCCCTACTTCATGTCACAACGAATCATTTTTAAAGTTCTAGAAGAAAACAAAGAATAATATCTTCATGACCATAGGTTTGGCACTGACTACTTAGACAGGAATCAAAAAGAAATTACAATAAAAATAATAAATTGTTTTTAAAGTAAATTAAATTTCTGCTCATCAAAAGACACTATTAAGAGGCCAGGCGTGGGCCAGGCACAGTGGCTTACGAGGTGGGCGGACCACGAGATTACAGATCTTGAGGAGACCCAGACCACCTGGCTAACACAGTGAAACCCCGTCTATACTAAAAATGCAAAAAATTAGCCGGGCGTGGTGGCGGGCGCCTGTAGTCCCAGCTACTCTACTCCAAAGGCTGAGGCAGGAGAATGGCGTGAACCCAGGAGGCGGAGCTTGCAGTGAGCCGAGATTCCACCACTGCACTCCAGTCTGGGCGACAGAGCGAGACTCCACCTCAAAAAAAAAAAAAAAAAAAAAAAAAAAAAAAAAAAAAGGGGCCAGGCATGGTGGTTTATGCCTGTAATCCTAGCACCTTGGGAGACCAAGGCGGGTGGATCACTGGAGGTCAGGAGTTGGAGACCAGCCTGGCCAACATGGTGAAACCATGTCTCCACTAAAAATACCAAAATTAGCCAGGCACGGTGGCCCGCACCTGTAATCCCAGCTATTTGGGAGGGCTGAAGCAGGAGAATCACTTTTACCTGGGAGGTGAAGGTTGCAGTGAGCCAAGATTGCCCCGCTGCACTCCAGCCTGGGCAACAGAGCAAGACTCTGTCTCAAAAAAAAGAAAAACACCATTAAGCAAATTAAAAGATAACTCACATACTGAAAGAAAATATTCATAATGCCTATTTTGACTAATAATTCTTACCTAAAATATATGAAGAATTCTTACTACTACATAACACAAATGTAAGCAGTCCAACATAAAGAATAAGCCAAAGAGTTGAATAGGATCATGAAGATATATGATTAGCCAATAAGCACATGAAAATGTTCCAACTATCAATAGTCATCAGAGAAATTTAAAATCATAATAACATACTACTATGACCAGAAGGACTAAGATTTTAAGAGACTATATTACCTAGTGTTGGTGGAGATATTGAGCAATTGGAACTCCCGTAAGTTGCTAGGGAGAATGCAAAATGAACAGCCCCTGTCATAGCATAGTGGAAAGATTATGGAAGTCTTTAAGGGAAAAACAAAAACAAATCAAAGATTTTCACATATAGGTATTTATTGTAGCATTATTTAGTATAGTAAAGATTGGAAAATCCAAATGTTTCACAATGGAGGAATGTTAAATTAAAAGTATGGTATATCTTTATAATGATTTAATAAAATGTTTTAAATGGTGGAATTGTTTATGAAATAAATGTTATTTAGAGAAATCAGAATATGAAACTGTCTTTATTGGATTAAAAATCATCATGGAAGGGGCCAGGCATGATGGCTCACACCTGTAATCCCAACACTTTGGGAGGCCGAGGCAGGCAGATCACTTGAGGTCAGGAGTTCGAGACCAGCCTGGCCAATATGGTGAAACCTTGTCTCTACTAAAAATATAAAAATTAGCTGGGTTTGGTGGCACACACCTGTAATCCCAGCTACTTGAGAGGCTGAGGCAGGAGAATTGGTTGAGACCCAGGAGGTGGAGGTTGCAGTGAGCTGAGATGGCACCAGTGCATTCCAGCCTGGGCTACAGAGTGAGACTCTGTTTCAAAAAAAAAAAAAAGGAAGGAAGAAAAAAGCCAAAGTTATGATGAAATTGTGTATTTTTTAATCCCCTCCATCACTTTTCTGTATCTTCCAAGTTTTCTAGAGGGACAAAGCATTACTTCTATAGTACAAAAAATGTTTATTTTAAAATAATGATTGCTTTGAATAACTACATAGTATTTAATGATGATAACTATAAAATTATTTGCTTTAGGGTTTTGACACATTGTAAATTGGCACATGGAAGTAGTTTTATTATTATTGTTAGATCCATATTCAGTTCAGTTCCTACCTTCATCAGGAAAGTAGGTGAATTCAGAAGGAGCTAGGGAAAATGACAGAATCAATAGACAGTACAGAAATAGAAATGATGGTGTTTTCCAGACAAATGAGCTTAGCTCTTTAACCACCAAATTTTGCATTTTAAAATTTTGATGAAACTCTTTCTAACATATGCATCATGCTTTCTTACTTACTAACTATATTATAGTGACCAAATCCCATCCTACCTCCTAGCTGTTTAGCTTTGGAGAATTGATGTAATAACCTTTCTTCCTTGTTTTCTTATCTGTATGATGGGGTTAATATTAAAACCCCTCTCATTGTATTGGTAGGTGTGAAAAGGATAATTTATATAAAGTATTTAGCAGAGGATTGGGTACAAAATAATAGATGTCACTTTCTGTTATTACTATTACTACAAAGAACGTGTGGCACAGTAGCCATTCAATAGTTTTGATTCACTGACTCAACTTACAATAATGTCTTTAAAGCCTTTCAGAGATCTGTAAAACACCTACCTCTGTTAAATGGTCCCAGATCACTCACTCACTAGTCATTATAGTTCCTTTCTCTGCCCATTCTTTCACTGTTCCACGTTACTTTTCTTAATGTTTCTAGTTCTAGCAGCCTCCTCCTCTTTATAACTTGCAGTTTCTAATTTGCTGTCAGATAGCAAAGCCTGTTTAAGTCAGTACACTTTCAAGGAGTGCCTGGAAAACTCTTATAGCAACTCTGTGGATTAACATTTATTGCTTATTTAGTCAAACTTTTTCCTATCTAATTTGTATATCTAGGGTTAAGACTGTGTTCAACATAGTTTAGTTTGATGAATATCTATTTCCAGATTAATGGTAACATTTATATCAGCAAATATTATGTGTACTATGATTATAAACAGAAATTTAAAATTGGATGAGCATTAAATTGAAAGTCTTGAAAATAATGTTCAATGAAGAAAGAAATAGAGCAAACAATAAGCTTTGGAGTTGGTATTCAGTGCTCTATCAGCAATTGAAATATGAGTGCAGAATAATATAGTATGTAAAAATCTGAGTCCTGTGTCCTTTTCAAACTCTGTTATTGACTTCTCTGACTTTGAATAAATAGCTTAAACTCTTTGAAGTTACAGTTTCTCACTTATAAAACACAAGAGTTGGGCTACGTTGTCACAAGGCACCTTTCAGTTTCAAAATTCTGGGTTTTTTTGGACCTACCGCAAGCTTATTGTTATAAATTGTATAAAGAAGAGGGTGATGGGAAAGAATAGGAACAAAGATTATTTCGGTCATTGAAAATAGCTCTCAAATGTTTCTGAGCATGGAGACAGATTAAAATAGAAACTATGAATATTTATTTCACAAAAGAAAGTCTGTGAGACTTTATAACAAAGATAGAAAAACCATAGTGAAGAACATTTTACAAATACTATATAAATACAGATTGGCAAGTACAGAGAATTATAAAATGTTTATTAATCTGTGTGTCTATTGTTGCATTTGTCAGAAAAGTGGCAGAATAAAAATTAAGAAATATGAGAAAGAGAAAAATATAGTGCTTATTATAAGAAATTTGATACTATTGAACAAAACACAGTATGTAATATACAATACTACATTTTTATAAATAAATACAAAATTTAGAATTCGTAGCAGTTTTTAAAGATCTTTTAAAAGCCAATAATCATATCGCCTGAGAGGATATTTGATTAGGTATTGTTAAAACCCCTTCTAATTCTTATTATTTATTATCTATTTTCAGATAAAATTGGGTCATTTATTAAAGTAGCTATTTCTTATAAAAATAGTAAAAAAAAGGATTTTATATGTTTGTGCCATCCATGTTTAAATAATCTTGTGTGTGTCAATCAGTTACTGCTCCTTATTTTTTCCTGTATCATTTGTTTAAACAAATTTTCAAAATAGGCCAGGCATGTTGGCTCACACCTGTAATCCCAACACTTTGGGTAGGTGAGGTGGGAGTATTGCTTGAGCCCAGGAGTTCAAGATGAGCCTGGGCAACATACTGAGACCCTATCTCTATAAAGAGAAAAAAAATTAATAAAAATATTTTTAAAATTCAGAATAATTGACGTAACTTGGTCATGGTAAAGTAGTTTTCACATGGAAAAAAAAGCCTTTTAAACTTGTAGGAATTAAGAAATTAGAATAACCTACAAAAGACTAGGAAAATTTATCTCATTTTTTTCATTGTATTTTCAGGTTTAACTGAACTGAATGACAATCCAGTTCCCCTAGAACTTGAGCGCTGCAAGTCTCCTACCTCAGGTAAACGTGAGTGGTATTTTTCAAGATTCTGGTAGTTCACTAGAGTAATCTATTGCTTTATTTTCATGATCTTTATAATGTGAAATTTATAATTTTAGTAATTAGGTGTAATTCCATTCATTAAATTTACTGTAAGCAAATTTGATTCTAAATATAAAATATGAATAAATGTCTTTTAAAATACTTTTATCTTAAAATAAAATTAAGATCAGAAGTATAAGTGCAACACTTTAAAAGACATTTTAAAGGAAAGTTATTTTGCAGATACATTAATAATACTTACTAAGTATCAAATAAAAATTGGTAATATACAGAAACTTGTCATCCTCTGGCCAGAGCTGAATTAGTGGGAAATATACAGTATACATGCAGGAGCAAATGATACCATTCCTCTGGACCACAGTTTGGAAACATGTATATTCATTAATTGACAAAGAAAAATGATAATAGAATATGATATGAAGCAAAACATCAAGACAAAGTGTGTACCCATTAAAATATATTTAAAATGTGAGAATAAGATTCCCAGGGATACATCTTTAAGGTACTGTATGTCAAAAAAAAAAAAGTTAACAGTTATTTTTGGGTGGTGGGATTATGACTGGTTTGCCTGTTTTTTTAAATTTTCATGTATTTGATAATTCTGATTTTTCTATAATGTATATATAGTTTTGTGTAAGTTTCTAAACACCAAAATAATTAGGTTTGTCTTTACTGAATGACAGATCTGTTCTTACAGACAAGAAATTATAGTTCATTTTTATTTTTATTATTTTTTATTATTTTTATACTTTAAGTTCTAGGGTACATGTGCACAATGTGCAGGTTTGTTACATATGTATACATGTGCCATGTTGGTGTACTGAACCCATTAACTCGTCATTTACGTTAGGTATATCTCCTAATGCTATCCCTCGCCCATCACCCAACCCCAGGACAGGCCCCGGTGTGTGATGTTCCCCTTCCTGTGTCCAAGTGTTCTCATTGTTCAATTCCCACCTATGAGTGAGAACATGCGGTGTTTGGTTTTCTGTTCTTGCAATGGTTTGCTGAGAATGATGGTTTCCAGCCTCATCCATGTCCCTACAAAGGACTTGAACTCATCCTTTTTTTATGGCAGCATGACATTCCATGGTGTATATGTGCCACATTTTCTTAATCCAGTTAATCACTGATGGACAGTTGGGTTGGTTCCAAGTCTTTGCTAGTGAATAGTACCACAATAAACCTACGTGTGCATGTGTCTTTATACTAGGATGATTTATAATCCTTTGGATCTATACTCAGTAATAGGAAGACTGGGTCAAATGGTATTTCTAGTTCTAGATCCTTGAGGAATCACCACACTGTCTTCCACAGTGGTTGAACCAGTTTACACTCCCACCAACAGTGTAAAAGTGTTCCTATCTCTCCATATCCTCTCCAGCACCTGTTGTTTCCTGACTTTTTAATGATCGCCATTCTAACTGGTGTGAGATGGTATATCACTGTGGTTTTGATTTGCGTTTCTCTGATGGCAGTGATGATGAGCATTTTTTCATGTGTCTGTTAGCTGCATAGAAGACTTCTTTTGAGAAGTATCTGTTCATATCCGTCACCCACTTTTTGATGGTTTTTTTTTTTCCTTCTTCTAAATTTGTTTGAGTTATTTGTAGATTCTGGATATTAGCCCTTTGTCTGATGAGTAGATTGCAAAAATTTTCTCCCATTCTGTAGGTTGCCTGTTCACTCTGATGGTAGTTTCTTTTGCTGTGCAAAAGTTCTTTAGTTTAATTAGATGCCATTTGTCAGTTTTGGCTTTTGTTGCCATTGCTTTTGGTGTTTTAGACATGAAGTCCTTGCCCATGTCTATGTCCTGAATGGTATTGCCTAGGTTTCCTTCTAAGGTTTTTATGGTTTTAGGTCTAGCATTTAAGTGTTTAATTGATCTTGAATTAATTTTTGTTTAAGGTGTAAGGAAGGGATCCAGTTTCAGCTTTCTACATATGGCTAGCCAGTTTTCCCAGCACCATTTATTAAATAGGGAATCCTTTCCCCATTTCTTGTTTTTGTCAGCTTTGTCAAAGATCAGATGGTTGTAGATGTGCGATGTTATTTCTGAGGCCTCTGTTCTGTTCCATTGGTCTATATCTCTGTTTTGGTACCAGTACCATGCTGTTTGGTTGCTGGAACTTTGTAGTATAGTTTGAAGTCAGATAGCATGATGCCTCCAGCTTTGTTCTTTAGGATTGTCTTGGCAATGTGGGCTCTTTTTTGATTCCATATGAATTTTAAAGTAGTTTTTTTCCAATTCTGTGAAGAAAGTCATTGGTAGCTTGATGGGGATGGCATTGATTGGGCAGTATGGCTATTTTCACAATATTGATTCTTCCTATCCATGAGCATGGAATGTTCTTCAATTGTTTGTGTCCTCTTTTATTTCATTGAGCAGTGGTTTGTAGTTCTCCTTGAAGAGGTCCTTTACATCCCTTGTAAGTTGGATTCCTAGGTGTTTTATTCTCTTTGAAGCAATTGTGAATGGGAGTTCACTCATGATTTGGCTCTCTGTTTGTCTGTTATTGGCATAGTAGAATGCCTGTGATATTTGCACATTGATTTTGTGTCCTGAGACTTTGCTGAAGTTACTTACCAGCTTAAGGAGATTTTGAGTTGAGATGTTGAGGTTTTCTAAATATATAATCATGTCATCTGCAAACAGTGACAATTTGACTTCCTGTTTTCATAACTGAATACCCTTTATTTCTTTTTTTTTCTTTTTTTTTTAAATTATACTTTAAGTTCTAGGGTACATGTGGATAATGTGCAGGTTTGTTACATATGTATACTTGTGCCATATTGGTGTGCTGCACCCATCAACTCCTCAGCACCCATCAACTCGTCATTTACATCAGGTATAATTCCCAATGCAATCCCTCCCTCCTCCCCCCTCCCCGTGATAGGCCCCGGTGTGTGATGTTCCCCTTCCCGAGTCCAAGTGATCTCATTGTTCAGTTTCCACCTATGAGTGAGAACATGCAGTGTTTGGTTTTCTGTTCTTGCGATAATTTGCTGAGAATGATGGTTTCCAGCTGCATCCATGTCCCTACAAAGGACACAAACTCATCCTTTTTATGGCTGCATAGTATTCCATGGTGTATATGTGCCACATTTTCTTAATCCAGTCTGTCACTGATGGACATTTGGGTTGATTCCAAGTCTTTGCTATTGTGAATAGTGCCGCAATAAACATATGTGTGCATGTGTCTTTATAGCAGCATGATTTATAATCCTTTGGGTATATACCCAGTAATGGGATGGCTGGGTCATATGGTACTTCTAGTTCTAGGTCCTTGAGGAATCGCCATACTGTTTCCATAATGGTTGAACTAGTTTACAATCCCACCAACAGTGTAAAAGTGTTCGTATTTCTCCACATCCTCTCCAGCACCTGTTGTTTCCTGACTTTTTAATGATTGCCATTCTAACTGGTGTGAGATGGTATCTCATTGTGGTTTTGATTTGCATTTCTCTGATGGCCAGTGATGATGAGCATTTTTTCATGTGTCTGTTGGCTGTATGAATGTCTTCTTTTGAGAACTGTCTGTTCATATCCTTTCAAACTATACTACAAGGCTACAGTAACCAAAACAGCATGGTACTGGTACCAAAACAGAGATATAGACCATTGGAACAGAACAGAGTCCTCAGAAATAATACCACACATCTACAGCCATCTGATCTTTGACAAAGCTGACAAAAACAAGAAATGGGGAAAGGATTCTCTATTTAATAAATGGTGCTGGGAAAATTGGCTAGCCTTACGTAGAAAGCTGAAACTGGATCCTTTCCTTACTCCTTATACGAAAATTAATTCAAGATGGATTAGAGACTTAAATGTTAGACCTAATACCATAAAAACCCTAGAAGAAATCCTAGGGAATACCATTCAGGACATAGGCATGGGCAAGGACTTCATGTCTAAAACACCAAAAGCAACGGCAGCAAAAGCCAAAATTGACAAATGGGATCTAATTAAACTAAAGAGCTTCTGCACAGCAAAAGAAACTACCATCAGAGTGAACAGGCAACCTACAGAATGGGAGAAAATTTTTGCAATCTACTCATCTGACAAAGGGCTAATATCCAGAACCTACAAAGAACTCAAACAAATTTACAAGAAAAAAACAAACAACCCCATCGAAAAGTGGGCAAAGGATATGAACAGACAGTTCCCTTTATTTCTTTCTCTTGCCTGATTGCCCTGGCCAGAACTTCCAACACTATGTTGAATAGGAGTGGTGAGAGAAGGCATCCCTGTCTTGTGCCTGTTTTCAAAGGGAATGCTTCCAGTTTTTGCCCATTCATTATGATATTGGCTGTGGATCTGTCATAAAAGACTCTTATTATTTTGAGATATGTCCCATCAATACCTAATTTATTGAGAGTTTTAGCACGAAGGGCTGTGGAATTTTGTCAAAGACCTTTTCTACATCTATTGAGATAATCATGTGGTTTTTGTCTTTGGTTCCATTTATATGCTGGATTACATTTATTGATTTGCATATGTTCAACCAGCCTTGCATCCCAGGGATGGAGCCCACTTGATCATGGTGGATAAGCTTTTTGATGTGCTGCTGGATTTGGTTTGCCAGTATTTTATTGAGAATTTTTGCATTGATGTTCATCAGGGATATTGGTTTAAAATTCTCTTTTTTTGTTGTGTCTCTGCCAGGTTTTGTTATCAGGATGATGCTGGTCTCACAAAATGTGTTAGGGAGAATTCACTCTTTTTCTATTGATTGGAATAATTTCAGAAGGAATGGTACCAGCTCCTCCTTGAACCTCTGGTAGAATTCAGCTGTGAATCCATCTGGTCCTGGACTTTTTTAGGTTGGTAGGCTATTAATTATTGCCTCAATTTCAGAGCCTGTTATTGGTCTATTCAGGGATTCAACTTCTTCCTGGTTTAGTCTTTGGAGGGTGTGTGTGTCCAGGAATTTATCCATTTATTCTAGATTTTT